ATGTGTAATTAATTGTGGTTGGCTGGCATGTTGGCATGACTGTCTCAATTTATTTGTAGGTTTTGAAAAAATATTTAGTGAGAAGTATATTTAATTTGGTTAAAAAAATTTGTATATAAACTCTAATTTATATGCATACTTTAACACAAATTAAGGATTTTTTAAAAAACATGAATCGGAACCTTATTCAACTAGTCCACTTATACATGCTAAAAACGACCATGAGAATGTTTGCTTAATTAGATTTAGAGTTTATCAAAAAAAATAAAAATTAAGATTTTAGATATTCTCTTCGTGATTATGTTATCCTAGAGTGAGTGTTTTTATTTATAACGTTATATACAATAGAAAAAGCGTTGACCAATAAAGTTTAATTCTGAGTTGAAAATTTTAGAAGATTGACTAACATGGGATATTTTTGAATATATCATTTTCGGATAATTACAAGACTATAGATCACATTTCCCGACCCACTAATTAGCAAATATAACAATGGAGTCTTTGACCAAACCATCAAAGGAGTTATTTAAACAAAACAAAAATCAAAGACGTTATCAAAAGCAAATCCAATTGGCAAATGTATAGTTAAGGTTTTGGTCCATAATATGAAATGAGATGAATGTTTCTTACGTCTTTCTTTGTTTTTTTTTTGGTAGGAGACGTCTTTCTTTGTTATTCTGTAGAAAGTTTGTGGATGAATTTAGAATGTCATAATGTATTTATCCTATGTCCAATTTTTCTAAATAAGCATATCACGCCACTAACATAAACAAAGCGAGGTAATAATGTAATATAGTGCACAATTCAAAACGCAAAAAGAAACGAAAAAAAAAAATAAGAACAATTAAAATGCTTCCTTTTAATAGTGGTTTTAATAGGGTTTTTTTTTTTGTGTGGACAAAAGTGGTTTTATTAGTTTATTTTCTTTAACTTCTGCGTAAAGCGAAACATAAATCAACTTAATCTTGCCGACCAGCACAAAGGAAAGAACTATGTATTGAGAAAAAAATTGGTGTGTCAAATATGCAATGATATTAGATTTCATTGAACAATTACAGTAAAATCTCAATAAATCAATACTCGATAAGATAATAATTTTATTAAAATCTCTATGTAAATATATGTTTTCATTAATATAATAAATTAAAAATCATGTAAATTTACAGAATATACATGATTTTTATATATAATAATGTATGGTTTTAGTTGTTTAAAAAATATGAATTAATTGTTAGAATTCATCTGTAACTTTTATCATATCAAAAGTATCAAAAAAAAATTTATGTTGTGTTTTTAAATACCGTATTGTAGTATATATTGTCTATAACTTTGACATAAAGATAACTAAAATTTTATGTATGTGTTCAAATTTTACTACAATAATCATATAAACTATAAAAAATACGACAGCTAAAGTCATTAATCACAAATTTAAATTTATTTGTATTGTTTGTATAAGTGAATTCATATGTAGTCTTTGTTATTTCTTGTTAAAACAATTTCTTATAAATATTAAATTTTCAAGTTTAAAACTTCAAAATTTATAACGTCCAAAAATTAAATTTCATTAGATAATTTTTTTTTCAATTCATACTCTCAGGCCAAGAGAACATACCTCGCCTCATATAGTCAAAAAAAAGAGGGACGTGCTATATCCTAAACGTACGAAACATAATAAATATCGTAAAGGCAGATATAGAGGGGTTGCAAATCGGATGGTACCAAACTGGGTTTCGGAAGATTTGACACTAAAAGTTGTAAAGCTGGTCGTCTTTCATACCGAGCCATTGAAGCAGCGCGTCGGACTATAATCGGACACTTCTATCGTGCTATGAGCGGACAATTCCGAAGAAATGGTAATTTTAACAATTAAAAGAAATCTTTTTATAAGCTGTATCACCATAAAAATATATCATAATGCCAACATTTTTAATTTAGAGGTTTATAGTACTTCGAGAAGAACAATTAGATTCACTGATTATTTTTCCTAGCCCTCTAATCTATCTGGTTTAAATTTCAAAACAAAAAAAAAATGTACAATTTGTATCCATTGCTACTAGTGATATTTAGCATGTACAAATGTAGCACTTTTGTCAACAAGGAATATAGTTGCTCGCATAACCCATATTTTTTTAATAATAATAATAGTTAAAAAAAGTAAGAGTTTCAAAAGGAGGTAACAACAATTAAGTGCCTTTATCCTACACTTTTACATGTTCATATTGTATAATTTATGTAATGATATCTTTTGAGTAAACTTTGATGTTTTTGTGTGCAACGAATAATAACTCGCCATTATTATTACATGATATACATTCTAACGCGGTGGCAAAAGAGTGGCCTTCTTTTCTTATCTTGATAAGTGATAAACTGAATTTTATAATTTACTTTTTGTGCTCTTTATAATTGACTTTATTTTTTTATTTCAATAAAATAGTATAAAGTAATAACGAACACTTCAAAGTGAGTAAGAAAGGTATAACCATTGGTAAGGATTGATCCGGGCGGCAGAGCCAATGGGTTATGTTTTTTCAAATATTTAATCATATCCTATTTTGGAGCCTTAAGGCGAATTAAGGTCGGTTTCTCATGCATCACGAGTTCCTTTTGCTTAATTTCAACGAAGTAAATGTTTAACAAAGAGAATAAAGTTTTTAGGTAGTTTATCATACATGTCAATAATCAAGAAACTATACCAAGATTAATATAACAATCATACATGTCAATAAAGTTTTATGAATATCATATGTTTAAATCTTTGTCGGCATTTGGCATTATAGTGTTTTAGATATGATAAAATACAATATATGAATTAATAACCATATGGTTGGAATTTTTTTTGTAAAATAACCATAAGGTTTTTTTTCTTTTTTGCAAAACAATCTCTAGCGAGTTATTGATAGGCGGAAAACACTTGTAAAACACTTGAAAAATAGCTAATTTTTCACGGATGAATAGAATTTCGATCTCGGCATGCTTGGTCCATTGGTACCCTCACTGGCGGATTTGATGAAAATTAGATGGTATATAAGTTGTCACAAAAACTATTGTATTAACGTAAAAGAGGAATGCACATTTCAAGCAGAAGGGTAAGGAGCCAAGTGGCGTCAGAAACAACAATTGCAACAATCTTGCATTCAACCTCTTTGTACTTAATCATGATATGATTAGTTGCTGATTTGAGGAGCAGAAAATGAGATTATCTCATGGTTGGATTCACGAGAAGATGATGTTTGAAAAAGTAAGTAGGTGATAAATTGGATTGTAAAGCTATTATTTTTACAAGAAAGGGAAATCAAACGCTCATGTCACCGGGTGGGGGACCCTGCCTACTCTCTTTCTCCTCCAAACTTGAGCTTTACCACACGCGACATTTAGACTTGGCATCTATTAATTTGATTTTTCTTAGATTACAAACTTGTCTACGACTCTCTCTACTCTCTAGTCTCTACATATTATGAGCTATATTTATATGTTTGTGATGCTTCATGTGGCTACAATTGAACATTTGATCCAGACAAAAACGCGGTAAGAACAAGTGATTAAAGTACCTACTCCACTTTTATTACTCTATAATTGCCATACTTTTTCGAAGTATACATGAACGTATATCACCTTTCGTATCTAATTCTGTGATGTACAAAAAATGTGTCTTTAATTAGACAAAAATTATGCTTACCTCCTAGGATAGTTTGCAGGGTAACTTAGCAAAATGACCAAAAAAAAACAAAGAATTATTTAGGGAAATGACAAGTACAGTAATAGATTGTTGGTAACATAAGAGTATTGTTAAAAAGTAGAATGAAAATGTAATGCGTTATTTTATCAAATGTACCTTTAAAACATATTTATTTTCTATTCTCGTAATTGATTATACACATATAAAACTTCAAAAACAACTTCCAATCTACGTTATATAATTTCTTTTTATCATGGTTAATCATCTATGTTTAATATCTTTAATATTTCGAAATAGCTACACCAGTAAATTTAGAATGAGTATGATTGACCTCATAATGTTTACCAATAAAAGACAAAACCAAACATAAACTTTTTTTTTTTTTTGGACAAAAACCAAACGTAAACTATTCACGTGTAAATAATAACAAAAGGTAGATGTCCAAAATATATAATACAATTGTCTTTTCTTCCGTCATAATTCAAAGGCCAATGAAATTTGAACTTTTTATAGATGGCCAATGAAACTTAATGATTTTTCAGCAAGCCAATGGAATTCAGTTTAGGCTTTACTTATTTTATTTCTTAAAAATATCTATAGAAAAGGAATATCAAAGTTAATTCACATCGTCGACACGTAGACGCATTATCAATTCCACTCAGTTTTATTTCATTTTCTTGTCATATTAATGTTTTATTCTTTGGCCACATCGTTCGTATAAATTCATGTTCCGGTCCCAGCACCAAAAAAAAAAGTATGTAAAAGAAAAAGATCGGATATTTTTCGTGTCAAGGAAAAGAAAAGATGCTTCTCTCTGCTCAAACAACCAAAATCAAATAAATGTGATCTCAATTAAATTTTAAAACGTATCGAATCTCAATGGCTTTGAGACAAAGAATATGATAGAAATAAAGGAAATATTTTCCATTTTTGGCTGCGAATATATTTTCCTTTTATAGAACATGGAACAACCAAAAAGGTCAAAAATAAAAGATTCATGTTGCCTGTCCTTAAGAAAAGAATTGATTGTTAAATAAGCAAAGTTTTCATAACACATACACGAATAGAAAATAAATGGCAAAAAATATTAACCTATTATGGAAAATATTCTACATTTTTACTTTATCCGTAGTTATTCTGATTGTCTTCGGCCATTAGGTTCTACAAAAATATGTGTTACCAAACATATACTAGTATGGTCTTTCTCTAGATTTCAATGGCCTAGACGCCTAGTCTTTTAATTGAAGTTGTATTAGTTTATTCTTAGTTTAACGAAACAAAATTTCACCTTCTCCTAGAAAATGGACAAAGATAAAGATAAACAAACCAAAAGAAGTTATTACAAAAGGGAACACATAAGTACAAACTGCTAAAGTCAAAGCTAATTAGAACTATCACACCAATACAACCATAAATAACACAAATACCACTAAAGCCCACAAAACAAAGTCGTTCTTGAATCAAAAAGTAGAAATTAAGGAGCAATATAAACTCCAAAAAATGATGACAAGAACATATGTACGTTACGTCAATGTTGATGGCAAATGACTCCAAAGAATAGCTATCAATCTAAACCAACGTGGTTCTTATCATATCTTCTGTACCGGAGGTAGACATGCTCTTAGACCTGGCAATGGGGAGGAGAGGAGGAGACTTTCCAGGAGTTTGTGACGTCAGCTCTTCAGCTCTTTCTGCTTGGACTGCCCAATCTGTTCTCAAAAGTGCACACAACATGAGAGAAGCACAAGTTGCTTGAGCTGCAAGCAACCCGAGCCAGAGACCTGGAAACCCTTGTTTGAAAAAAAAACCAAACAGAATAGCGACCGGCATGCCCACAAAGTAAAATGAACCCAAGTTTATGTTGGCACCAAGTGTTGGTCTTGCACATCCTCTTAAAACCCCACAACCGGTTGTTTGGGGACAGTTTCCGAGCTCACATAACCCCACAATGGGCAATGCGATGGAAGTCAGCTGAAGAATCTCTGCATCTGTGGTAAACATGCGTCCCCAATGGTGCCTAACCAGCACAGCAAACACCATTGCCATTAAGCCTAAGGTGATCGCGCAGAAGAGTGAAATGATCATGGACACACGAGCTTTGGCCGGGCGTTTAGCCCCAAGCTCGTTGCTAATTCTTGTAGAGACACCAAGGCTGAGAGAGGATGGAAAGACGTAGACCAAGGCCGTCGTTTGGATCAAGATTCCCATGGAAGCAACGGTGGCTCTTGGGTTAGCCAAAAGTCCACACAAAATGATCATGAACTCGTACCACCACCACTCCAAACAAACAGACACACAAGTGGGTATGGCAAGTGAGAGCAAAGATGACCAACCTTTAAGAGAGTCAATAGTAATTGGGACCCATGTGTCACTATGCACGCTCGTGAAATACACAAAGGAAGATAAGAGGACTACAAGGTTGAGATTTGTCAAAACCATAGCTATAGCGACTCCCGCGACTCCCATCTCGAGTTTCACCACTAGGAGGTAGTTCAAAGGAACGTGTAGGAGAACGGACACGGCCGTGGAGTATGTCACGGGTAATGTAATGTTTTGTGTTCGGAGGTAAATGCGAAGAGGATGAAGCAGAGAGAGGAGGAAGAGGTCAGGTATAGCGAAGAGAAGGAACTTTTGAGCAACAGAGGAGATCTCTTCGTCTTGGCCACACCATAAGAGGATTCGACGCATGTTGAGCCAAGAGAAAGATATAGGGACCGAGCAGGAGAGGAGGAGGAGGACGGTTCTTTGAAGGGTTAGTCCTAAAAGCTTCATTTGTTTAGCTCCGTAGGCTTGGCCGCAGATTGGTTCCATCCCCATGGACAAACCGGAGATGACGGAGTAGCCGGTGATATTGGCAAAGCCTATGGAGAGAGATCCTCCGGCTAACTCAAGCTCGCCGAGGTAGCCTAGGAACAGCATCGATATCATTGCTCTTGAGTACATAAGAAGTCCGGTCATCGCCGTTGGCCCAGAGATTCTTCCTATTGCCTTCACTTCCTCTAAGCCCTGCCGCCAGATTATTAAGAAAAGAAAAGTCAAGAACAAGAACCGTCCACGTCAGTAGATTTTTACTTTTTATTTTCCTGGTTAATGGATAATTATATTAATCAAATAAAGCTTATGTTAAACCTTTATAAAAAAATAACATAACAAAAATCCCAAACCGGGAATAAAGATTTAGGTGTCAAATCAAGAAAAGAATTATGAAATTTTGGTTTCTAAATTAATATATGCTATTGGTATAGTTCGGACAATCTAGTTTTGTCAAGAACTCGATTCTTGTAATACTATATTCATATATATGTATACACCGTAAGAAGAAAAAAAATACGTATAGGAAAAAAAAAAGGAGATTATTTACCTCCAGAAAAGTTGGCCATCTTTTAAGGTCTAGAGAATCATTATCCGTGAAGTCGGAATAATGAGGATGATCTGTATCACAGGTTTCGAGTTTTGAGAAATGGGTTTTGTCTTTACAAGATAATAAGGAAGATGAAGCAGAAGATGGTTTTGAGTTACACATGATTCTCGAGAAGAGTAAACTGGTTTTGTGCGGAATAGAGATAAAAGGACAATGAGACAAATTGTAGTGCTTTGAAGTCTTTTGGTTGGAGGCAAACAAAACGATTTTGTGCAAATGGTAAAAAGAAACAGAGAGGAACTAAAATTTTTAATGTGGAATTGGTTGGGCCTTTTGGAGGAGGAGGCTCTCTATTTATAACTAGCAAAGAATTGATACCGTTTCTACACGTGGCGAAAAATTAGTTTTAATTTCTTTTAACAAAGAATTGATAATCTAATATGGATTGGAAGTGGGATTTTTTGTTGGCTTTGACTAAACAAATCGTGTGCCCACCATAAAAAAACGACACTGGTTTAGGACAAAAGAAAAGGTTAACTATTTTAAATTACATCGACGCATAGCTTTTTAATAATACCAAACTCTTGCTTAATTTTAACACTACTTTGGGTTTCACTAACATTGAACTCTTTCGGTTGTGTCGGCTGGCCAATTGACAATAGTACTAAGTGCTACAATATCAGGCTGTTATTACTTCTTAGGCTGAGAGGATCTGGCTAACAATGATTGGGTTTGTGGTTCTAATTTGTAATAATATAACATTTACAATGAGCCTCTTCTATATCCTTTTCTTAAAATAAAAGTTTTATTCGTTAAGTAATAAAATATGTAACAGATCTTCAAAATACCACATTTTAAAATATATATGACAAATATTCTAAAAAAAATATCAATTTTTTAAAATTCTTAAAGTTTTGAAATATTGTACATTGTTATGTTAGAAATTGTTCATAACACTTTAAAAAAGTCTTAAATCATTTAATAATTGTGTTGAAGATATTATGAATATAAGAGTCGAAGACGGAAAAAAAGAAAAAAATTATAATATATAGTTGGAATGGTGTGTAGTTTAGAGGGAAAAATATTTTTTATCCAAAATAAATAAATGATATGATAAAAAAAAATTTACTCGTCATTGGCCCCCAATTTTTTTTTTTCCCTTTCTTTCCATTTCTACTTTCTCCCTCTCTATTCCTTTCTCTCTATACTAGTTATCATTCACATCCTAAATTCTTTTATAGTCGAAAACTTTGTAGTAAATGTTTGGTATGCATTACCAAATAAATCTTTAGCAAAATCCCATAATTTTTGTTATAGATTATTTTGGGTGAAACTTTTATAGTAAGAACGTCCATCCTAAACAAAAGAAGAGTGTATTAAATGATGAATTTAGAGTGATTTGAGTTTTGAAATGATTTTAGTGAATTAGAAAATTTGCTATTAAAATTTTCTCAAATCTCACCTATAACCATGAGATTTGTATCTTTGTATTTTTTAACTAATAAATTCTATGAAATATCACCTAAACTCACTCAGATGACTTCAAATCCACTACTTAATTAAAATGTTTCCAATAACAGTGGATTTGATTGTATATTTTAAAATCACTAATCAAATAACACTTGATTTTAGAAATTTGTTTTATATTCATGTTTTAATAACATAGTATTTATCATTTTAATAGAAATCACTCCGATTTTCCTCCAAAGTTACCTCTATAGAGCAACTACTCTCCTTATAATCTCCGTAAACATCCTCTTCGATTTTAGGAAGCTAACTTAAAATGGTAAAGCCAAAACTGCTTTTAAAATCGTTGATGTTGCCTCATACAACCATTTTTCTACTATTTAAAATTTTTGTTCCTATGAATCCTATCATTGGTGTCTTTTTAAATTTTTGTTCCTATGAATCCTATGATAGGATTCATATCATTGGTGTCTTTTTAAATTTTTGTTCCTATGAATCCTATCATTGGAACAAAAATTTTAAATAGTAGAAAAATGGTTGTATGAGGCAACATCAACGATTTTAAAAGCAGTTTTGGCTTTACCATTTTAAGTTAGCTTCCTAAAATCGAAGAGGATGTTTACGGAGATTATAAGGAGAGTAGTTGCTCTATAGAGGTAACTTTGGAGGAAAATCGGAGTGATTTCTATTAAAATGATAAATACTATGTTATTAAAACATGAATATGAAAAATAGGAATCCTATCATTGGTGTCTTTTTAAATTTACCCAACATGTCACGATATCCAATATAAAATATTGATCACTAAATCATCATTTTTCAATAGGATCTCTTCTCGTGTTAGTTCTTAATCTACTATCACTACTAGGTAATAACTGCAAGCATCTTCTCACCCACCTAAATACTTTTATACCGGTCTTAAATATCTTACAATCACTAAAATAATGTTCTTTTCTTTTTACTTTATTTATCTAGTTATACCTTGCTCATCAAAATATGAATAATCAGAAATGAGTGGTGGAACTGGAAGCATTTATTCATAGTAGAGTCAGCCATTGAAAATATTTGGTCTTTCGACTATATTGTCCATGTGGAATCCAGATTGTTTAGATACTAATTGATACATGGTTTATCTCTTCCATGAGTAATCTTAACACGATGATGCCCGTGAAAAATCATTAAATGGTTATACCATGTTGAAGATCTAGAATAGGTATCTGATCAAGAACACAAAGTAACACAAAGTATAAGAATGACTCTCTTATATTTCTTTAGGAAAAATATCTCAAAAACCTAAAGTTCTCAAACTCATAAGTTGTATCACAACCTTGATACCTCCTTATATAATAAAAGCTTTGACCTTATCCTAATACAACTAGGATTTGCATTAGATAACTCCTAATACAATTATTCTAGATAACTCCTAGAATAAAAAGCTTATTTTCCTTTTTCCTTTTAGTAACTTGCTCTTCAAGTTACTTAACCTTCAAGCTTACTTCCAACAGAAAACCATTTGAAAATATTCTCGCACCAAAGGCTTATGTAGTCCGTGCTCTCACATGTCCAAGTTCTCATATACATAATCTACTACAAGCTTAGACTCCCACATGCGCAGGCTCTCTCATCCTGTTAGTCAACACTAAAGGCTCCTATAGGCTCATGCTACCATAATCCAAGTTTTTTGCAGTCCAGAGTCATGTATATAGGTTGGTTTATTGCTAAGAAATTCTAGAACAAATTAGAGATTATAATATCTCACCAACAAAAAAAAAACTTACATCAGAATATTGTGTGCCATATAGGGTCCGAATGGCACTCCGATTTAGGCGTGACTCCGATTTGAGAGAAGGAGCGATGTAGTTTGGGTGCGGTGTGATTAATCAAATTTATGAATGGTAACGTGATTCGGCTACGATCTGTTATCCTATTTTTCTCGAATGACAAAACGATTAGGGTGCGATTAGATGACAAAATTACTTAAAAGGGTACTAGTTATATTATTATTGTTATTTATGCTTTACTTATTTATTTGATGTATTTTTACTAAAAACACGATTCTATTTCTTCCCGCCAAAAATATATTTCCGGTTTTCTCGCCAAAAACGTTTTTCCGCCAAAAACGTAATTTCACGTTTTCCCGCCAAAAATATATTTCCGGTTTTCCCGCCAAAAACGTAATTTAACGTTTTCCCGCCAAAAACGTGATTTCCGGTTTTCCCGCCAAAAACGTAATTTCACGTTTTCCCGCCAAAAACGTAATTTCACGTTTTCCCGCCAAAAACCTAATTTCACGTTTTCCCGCCAAAAACGTGATTTCCGGTTTTCCCGCCAAAAGCATGATTTCCTGTTTTCCCGCCAAAAACGTAATTTCACGTTTTCCCACCAAAAACGTAATTTCCGGTTTTCTCGCCAAAAACATTATTTTTGGTTTTACCGCCAAAAAATATGATTTCCGGTTTTTCCGCCAAAAACGTAATTTCATGTTTTCCCGCCAAAAAAATTATTTCCGATTTTCCTGCCAAAAACGTTATTTCCGGTTTCTCCGCCAAAAACATGTTTTCCCGCCAAAAACGTGATTCCACGTCTTTCCGCCAAAAATGTGATTCCGTGTTTTTCCGAAAAAAATGTGAATTTCTTTTTTCCCCCCAAAAAATGTGAATTTCATGTTTTACCGCCAAAAACGGAAATTTTGTTGTATATTTTTAATTATTACATATTAAAATTTGTTAATTAGATATAATAAAAATAATTGAGGATATATTGGTAAATATACCTATAACTCACACTTGCCGCATCCTAATCGTAGGTTCAAATTCCGTTTGTGCAACGATTAGAGTAAGAGTAAATTACAAGAACCTAATCGCTTGCTAACTACACTTGAATCACATCATACTCTAATCGTTTTGCCATTCGATGGTGACATGTAGGCCTGGGCATAAAATCCGAAATCCGATCCGAAAACCGATCCGAAAAATCCGGCTCCGAATCCGAACCGAATAGTCACAAAACCCGAACGGATAATGAATTCTCCTATCCGAATTATCCGAACCGAACCCGATCCGAACCGAAAACCGAAAGGATATCCAAAAACCGAAAATAAAATTATATATCCAAAAATATTAGTTATATTTAGCTATAATTTTATAACAAATAACAAAAATATCCTAAATAACCTAAATTTCGAAAAGTTTTTAGTTATATTTATTAAAATTATACATATTTTTGGAAAACTTAGCCAAATTTTAGTAAGATTAAAACTATTTTTTATTTAAATTGAACATTTTTTTAGTTTTTTTTCCTCGCAAACCGATCCAAAATTAATCCGAAACCGATCCGAATCCGACACTATCCGAACCGAACCCGATCCGAATAGTCATAAAATTCGAACGGATAATAAAATCTCCTACCCGAATTATCCGAATCCGAATAAATCCGAACCGAATCCGATCCGAAATCCGAATGCCCAGGCCTAGTGACATGCGATTAGGGTCATCACATCACACCCGAATCGGATTGCCATTCGGGGCCATATTTAGTTAGTACCTTCAAGTTTACTGTTATTATCATGTAGATGGCAAATCTACTAAGAATCTCTATATATACTTGTTTATTTTCACAGGACAAATTTTCTACTTCCTCCCAAAAAATTTATGTTTTAGAAAGTGAAGACATTTACTTTTATCTTTCATTTAAGCTTCAAAACATCTTTATAAAAAGCCACATT